GGCGATCCAGGTAAGTTACTATTCCTTATACTATAAGGAGGTAAAAATTTTAGATCGCTCATTGATTTAGGCACTAGCATTAATCTTATGCCTTATTCTACTTTTAAAAACCTTGGGTTAGGAGAAATTGAACCGACGGCTATAACTCTTCAATTAGCCCATAGATGTTTAGTTAACCCAAAAGGTATTTTAGAGAATGTGTTAGTGAAGGTTAATAAATTTATCTTCTCTGTAGATTTCGTTATACTTGATATAGATGAGGATAGGGAGATACCTCTTATCGTAGGGAGGCCATTTTTAGCCACGTCGAAAACTCTCATTGATTGTGCTAGTGGTGATCTTACAATGACTGTGCATGATCAAACAATCAACTTCAATGATTTTAGTGCTAATAAAAATCCATGTGATAATAATGATTGTTTTGCTATTGAGCTTATGGATTTTACAAATAATGAAAAGTTTGATGTTTTGATCTTGGACAATGGGAAAGCATCTTTGAGTGCAGGAGATAATGGCGGAAACGAAAATCGGAAGGAGCAAGTTTACTTCATGGCCTCAATTTCAACTCCTCCGAGAGAAAGTCATACGAGTTTGAGTCTTAACGGCGATGAGAGTGCAAGGAAGATGTTGCCACCCAAACACTCGAGCAAGTCACGAGAGAAGAATGAGTCAAGCTATTGTGGTCGTAAGGAGAAAGTCAAAAGAAAATTGCACAAAGGACAATTGGTGTTATTGTGCAAATCACGGCTGTGGTTGTTCCCAAGGAGGCGCAAATCAAAGTGGTCGGTACCATTTATTGTCCACGAGATTCTTCCTCACAAAGTGGTCAAAATAAAGGAGCGAGATTCAAATCGTACGTTCAACGTGAATCGGAGCCGGCTCAAACCATATTGGGAAGCGAGTGAAGATTGCCAAGTGACATCGGTCACTTTTTCTTGAAAATAAAGAAGCAATGTCCGGCTGAAGACTTTAAACTTAGCGCTTCTCGGGAGGTAACCCGGGCTTTATTGTTTTTCATAGTTTTCTTTAATTTTTCGTTTCATTTTTAATATCATAGGCATGCATTCTAATTTATTTATTTGAATTTTACTTTTCAGGGTCGAAAACATGATAGAGGGTCCAGTCGGCCGTCCGCGAAAAAAAAAAAATTGCAGCACTGCATTTGAGACGGCCGTCCAAAAAATATACCTTTTAAGTGGGAGGCCCGTCCCACGTCCACAGGGGAACCAGTAGCCTCGGACGGCCGTCCGAAAATAATGCACAAAACCGGGATGACCGTCCCCAAACCAGTGAGGGAAGACTAATTCTCGGACGACCGTCCGAGAAATAGGCAAAAATGTGGGACGGCCGTCCGAACTCAAAAGGGGGAGTTTTAAATTTTCGAAAATAAAATTTTCTCCCCCATTATTTCTTAAACCCTCCTCTTTCCTTCTCACTAACTCCCACACACGAATTTTCGAATTTTTGAATTTCTCTTCCAAAAATTCTTCGATTCCACACACATAATTCACTCACACACTCTCCGATTCTTATTTTGTGTTGGTATTGACAGGGATGCCAGAGAATCGAAGCAACCTCTACAAAATCTACTCATTCAAGGCACGCTCACAAGGTGTTCGACAAATTGCCTCAACCAAATTTGGGGGTCGATTCTCATCCAATTCTTACCGCATCCATTCCAAAAGTTCTCCCAAATATGTCGTCCAACAAAAGAGGTCGCACGGATGAATCTTCATCTTCCAAAAGCAAAGGAAAAGGCAAGAAAGGTGCCACCAAAACGACGATTCCCTTTTCCCGAAAAGGAAGCCTTTAGTGTGGAAGGCGCCGCGGCTCTATTTACTAAACAAGGCAAAAAGACTGTCATCATGGAACGGGCCTTGACAATCACGTTCCCGCACTTCGCCAATCTGAACCAAGAAATCATAAGACAAGGATGGCAAAGGTTGTGTGAACCGGAGTCAATTTAAAATATCCCAATCGTGCGAGAGTTTTATGAGAACACGTTGGTACTCAAGCATCCACGAAAATTCACAAGTGTGGTACGAAAAATTTATGTTAGTTGGGAGACGAATGATATAAATTAATGTTATGGGCTCCCGTATTTGGGTCAAAGTTGGCGAGAGATAGAGCAACGAAGTCACCAAAGAGCAAATTGGTGAGGTGTTGAGTGGGGGACATTGGATTGAATACCCGGACAAGTGGACGTATGAGCTCAGTTGGAAAAGCATCAATTATGAAGGCAACGCATGGTTGACGTTTATTTGTGCCAACATAATCCCGACTACCTCGTTTAGTCGGATCAACCACGAATGGTGTGCGCACGCCTATTACATTATCACGGGGAAGCCGATCGACATCGGGTCAATTATGTACGATCAACTTTGGCTTTCCATGCGCGACAATACAAAGGGCATCTTCTTCCTTAGCCACGTCACGGGGTTGTGCAAAAGAAAGAGGGTCCCCAAATTACCAAACGATATCGAGCTCAACATCCGGAAGCCGATTGCCGATTTTGCGGCCTCGCTATTCAAAGAAGCCACCTATGACAAGCCGCAAGCCGCTCTTCAAGCCCGAGACGAGCCCGAAGCCTCAAACTCACGTGCCGATCGACGATTCCGAAAGAAGATGGAGCGAGAGATGATAATTACGAGGAACCAATTGACTACCGTCGAGCATAAAGTCAATACGGTGGAGGCACTTCAACGGTGGTCGAGCAAAATGCTACAAGCTATTGTCCAACAATTGAGATGCGGGACGACCGATTGCATCGAGCCGGCACCTTTACCGGCACCCATTCTTGAGCCCGTACCGAGCTTTCCGATGATGAGGAGCGTGAGAGAGCTAGGGAGGAGCACCCCGATCACATCGACTCCGACTAAATCAGGTGTTTTCTATCCTTAAACTTTGTGCTAATTTCGTTGAGGGCAACGAAAATTTTAAGTTTGGGGATGAGAAACATGCTTTTGTGCTTATTTGTTTTAGTTTGCATGCATTAGGTTTTATTCTTTTTTATTGCTTTTCTCGTTTTTTATTCCGGAATAAAAAAAAATTAATTTGGGTGAACCATGAAAATTGTCCAAATTTAAAGCTAGAATAAAATAAATAATTAAAATATTCCCTGTGGGTTCGATATCCGGACTTTTAGTCCACTATATTACTTGTACGATACGTGCACTTGCGTGTAGGTATTACAACCAACAAGTTTTTGGCGCCGTTTTAGGTCACAGGAATGAGAAAAAATTTCGATCAATTTATTATGCTAGTAAAACTCTTAATGATGCACAATTAAATTACACCACCACGGAAAAAGAGTTATTAGCTGTTGTTTTTGCTTTTGAAAAATTTCGCTCTATTAGGAACCAAAGTTGTTGTTTTTACTGATCACGCTGCCCTCAAATATTTGTTTACTAAAAAGGATGCAAAACCTAGACTCATTAGGTGGATTTTAATGTTACAAGAATTTGATATTGAAATTCGTGATCGAAAGGGTAGTGAAAATCAAATAGCCGATCATCTATCTCGACTTGAGAAAGATGTAGACGAAAGCGATAGAATTTGCATTAATGAAAATTTTCCGGATGAACAGTTGCTTGCTTTTGATAATAAGGTACCTTGGTTTGCCGATTATGTGAATTATTTGGTTAGTAAAGTGCTTCCACCGAATCTTAATTATCATCAAAAGAGGAAATTTTTGCATGATGTTAAATTTTATTTTCGGGAAAAGCCTTTTGTTTTTAGACAATGCAGTGATTTGTTAATGCGAAGATGTGTCCCGGAACATGAGCAGCAAGACATACTCTTTCATTGCCATGGTTTGGATTATGGAGGACATTATGGGGGCGAAAGAACAACACGTAAGGTTGTTCAATCAGGTTTTTTTTGGCCCACTCTTTTTAAAGATTCGTATAAATTCACTATTACTTGGGATCGGTGCCAACGCACGGGCAATATTTCGGCTCGCCACGAACTCCCATTGAACACGATGATTGAAGTCGAGCCTTTTGATGTTTGAGGTATTGACTTTATGGGACCTTTTGTCCCTTCATTCAATAACCAATACATCTTAGTGGCCGTCGATTACGTTACTAAGTGGGTAGAGGCAATAGTCACCCGTACTAATGATACATCTGTAGTGTGTGCTTTCTTGAAGAAACAAATTTTCACTAGGTTTGGAGCACCACGGGCAATTATTAGTGATGGTGGATCGCATTTCGTCAATAAGTAATTTGACAACTTGATGGGCATGTATGGCGCAAAGCACAAGGTTGCACTCGCGTATCATCCACAAACGAATGGGCAAGCCGAAGTTACGAACCGCGAAATCAAGAATATCTTGGAAAAAGTGGTAGGCCCAACAAGAATGGATTGGTCGAAAAAACTGGATAATGCACTATGGGCATATCGCACAGCTTTTAAAACGCCATTGGGAATGACCCCTTACCGTGCGGTGTTCGGTAAAGCATGCCACTTACCGTTGGAATTAGAGCATTGTTCTTATTGGGAGCTAAAAAAGATGAATTTCGATTACAAAGAATGCAAGGAAAGAATGTTATTGCAACTCAACGAGTTGGACGAGTTACGAGAGCAAGCGTACGAGAGCAATTGGTTATACAAAGACAAAGTCAAAAGGTGGCACGACAACAACATCTTGCACCGTCAATTTCAAAAAGGGCAAGAAGTTCTCTTGTTCAATTCACGGCTTCGGTTATTTCCGGGAAAGCTTAAATCAAGATGGTCGGGGCCGTTCATAGTCCAACAAGTCTTTCCACATGGAGCTATAGAAATCAAGGACCGTGAATCGGAACGAGTATTCAAAGTAAATGGGAATCGACTCAAACACTATTGGGGTGATGGTGGCGAACGCCAAGTGGCCTTGATCACCTTTGCTTGAAGAGCAAGAAGAAACGTCCGGCTGAAGACTTTAAACTTAGCTCTTCTCGGGAGGCAACCCGAGCTTTATTGTTTTTCGTAGTTTTCGTTAATTTTTTGTTT